GTTTCTTCAGAACTCCTGAGCAGTGCTGCCCAGCGCCGTGGCCATGGTGATGGTAATGGGGTCTTGAGGGTCTTGAAGGTCTTGGAAGCTGCATCTTTAAGCTAGCACTTTTGATTTTGCCCTTCATTTCCCAGCTTGTTAGAGCCAAGCAGCACCATTTATTTAGCCCAAAACTGGAGCATGAGAGGATGAGGGTGAGCAGGCATGTCCCTTTGTGAAGAGGGTACCACATTTTTGACTCTACCCTCTGCAGTTGAAGTTCAACTGGAAATATGTCTAAGGCCAGAAAGCCCACATAGATCCTTAGTGTCTTTTCCTACTTTGGGTTGGCATATGTCAGTGGCTCCTGTCTTATGGTCAAACACTTGTCAGTTTTGTGGCTGGGGCCTTCAGACAGGACCCCAGAACCATCTTCTGTCCCTTGGAAGCAGTAATTCTTCATTTCCTGAAGCAGCCCAAGTCAGCCTGCCTGATCTGTTGCCACACTGTCACCTCCATGGAAACCAGTGTTGAGAGCTGCAGTTGCTGACCCATGAGGTGGGAATGCTGGGAGCTCTTCTACGTCTGTCATCTACCAGGAGGCCAGGTTGGCCAGCATCAGGCGGGTGAGCTCACCCAGGGAGAACGATCAGCATAGGTGTGTTCCTTGAACATCAGGTGCCCACATGGGACTTCTCCTAACATGTGGGGAAGCTTCCCTCCACCTGAGAAAGTGAATAGGTGCACATCAGTTCCTCAGTTCTTGTGTATGTGATTAAACAAATACCTAGGAAGATTTGTAGCTACAAGGGGCTGGCTGGAAGACGTACCTAACCGGATTGAGCAGCAAGCACTTTTCCAGGAAGGAGCAAGTTTAATGAGAGCAGCGAAGGCTGGGAAGTGGGGTGGGCAGTGAGTGTTTTATTCCTGGTTGCTGCGGGTCTCACACCAGACACTAAGCTTGTGTCTCCAGGGTGGCTTTGGGTCCTGAGTATTAAGTCTGGCTCCCGCCTCCCTTTGGGTTTAGCAGAGCTCAATGTGTGCTCTTAGAGGAATGTGAAGATTTGTTTTTCAGCATGCCTGCCCGATGTTAATGTGAGAATATGGAGTACATGTTCTCTTTCCCAAAAGCTGGCTGTAAGATGTGTGGATCGTTGTGGTCTCTTATTTCTTTTCTTTGACTACTACTTATCTTCAGGTTTACATTTTCTGGGATGACATGCATGTACTCCATGAGCTACTCATATTGGTTGCCTAGATGGTTCTGTGTATAACCTTTGGGTCATTACACAGTGTTTTCTGGTCTCCTTATTTCTTTTCTTTGACTACTACTTATCTTCAGGTTTACATTTTCTGGGATGACATGCATATACTCCATGAGCTACTCATATTGGTTGCCTAGGTGGTTCTGTGTACAACCCTTGGGTCATTACACAGTGTTTTCTGGTCTCTAGGAGTTTATGACCTATGGTGGGACTGGGTGGAGGGTTTAGGGCTAATAAACACAAGAGCATTAGCTAGGGAGCCAGAAGACCTGAGTTCTGCGATCAGCTTTGGCACTTAGCTTGACTGTGTGACCCGATAAGTCCTTCTCTGGTTCTCAGTTTCCCTATCTGTAAAATGGGTACATTAGCCTTAATTATTACCAAGCCTTCTTTTTCACATCTGTCCTTCATTTTTTTGTTGTCTTCTTACAGGATTTGGACATGGAGGACATCCAACCAGCCTCGGATGCTGGCCATTCTTTTGAGTTTTGTAGATGCCTGGTCCTCTTTTTTGTCAGACAGTCTTCTCCATGCTTTATAGACTTCATCTCCTTGCTTTGGAGGCAATGATCTCATTTATTTATTCCTTAAAATTTCAGTGGTCCTATCACTGTCATTGCAGCTGTCCTTCAACCAGCATCTTCTCTGGGCCATCGCTGTGGCTGTCACTTCTTTATATCAATCTCATTCATCCTCAGAATGCTTAACAGCATGATGTATAACAGCCCCCGCCATGTAGTTTCCACAGAGAGAGACACATTAAGGACCAGAAGCCAGAGGAAAAGGCCCTTAAGAAAAAAGAAATCACATCCTAGTGATTTCTCGCATTCCTAGTAATCATCTTGATCTTTTAAGCAGTGATATTTACAGCTTTGCATCTTATTTCATAATTATGTAAGTGGATAGCCTTCTGGACACAGGCCCATGTGGCCGTGCAGGCTGTGCAGGGGGCTGCTGGCCTTCCTGAATAGAAAGGAGTCTCCTCTGCCTCAGCCTGAAAGGGGACGACTAGAACAGTCATTTTACATTGGTGTGAAGGGGTTGCTTTGTGCCGGAATTGCAGCCTCTTTCTTTCCTAGTCCGTTAACCTCATTTGGGGAAGCCCCTTCTGAAAGAAGTGTTAACAACCATAAGTAAACTCTTCCTGAAAGGTGCTTTAGGAATGAAGAGTTGTAAATGATACTAAAGCATCACAAGTTCCATGTCTTAGGCTAAGCGTGACCTTTCTTGGCTCACTCTCAGCCAGTCCCTGAAGGGCAGAGAAAATGCTCAGGTTTATTGAGGGGCTTATTAAGACAAGACTAGGGCTTTGCCAAAATGAAGGAGTTGGGTCTCTTCCAGAAACACCTAATGCTTCTGAGCTCTGTCCTCCTAGCACTTTCTCAGCCTTGAGGAGTGGTCTGTCTTCAGGGGCACTGAGACAGGTGCACAGATAGCAGTGAGCAGAGGCAGGCAGCTGTGCGGGGAGCACAGGATAGGAAGCCACGACTCCTGCAGGGCCTGTGCTGGCAGGCAGGGCAGGACCTGTCAGGCTGCTCCTGGCAGAGTAACTAGTGTTTAGATGGCTTTAATGACCCGAGAGCACACATGGCAGGTGGTCAGATTTCGATGAAGAACCACGGTTCACTGACTAAATGAATGAATGCCCTCTCCTACCACCAGGACTTTCTTTAATTATAGTGAAATTTCTGTAAATTCCTTAAATTTCCTTTCCTTAAACTCCACTTTGGCCAGCCTGTTGCCCTGCTCCAGAATTCTTTTCGTCAAGGTCTTCGGCTCTTCTGCTTGTTCCTGGGTCTCTTTCATGTGGAGCAGCAGAGCAAATCTGCCTCTCTGTAGCTACTCTCTATTTAGAGGGGAAATCAGGGTATATTGGCAAGAGAGTATTGGACTTTTGAGTCAAGCAGACCAAAGTTCAAATCCCACCTCCAACACTTTGTTGTCGTATAATCTTGGGCTATGGTTTTTAACCTTTCTAAGCCTCTGTTCCTTCATCTAAAAATGGGAATAAGTCTACCCAGCATATCGGGCAGTTATGAGAAATACACTATTGCTGTGCAGTGCTAGACACTTAAAAACCCCTCAAAAAGGATGCTTCCCTGTGGCCACTGTTGACAGTGGAAGTACTCCCTGGGGCCATGAGGATGAGCTCTCCCCTCTTTCATAGCCTTGCCAGCACCAGAAAGTGGCCACCATACTCCTCCTGGCTGCCCCATCTCCTGGCCAAACGCCCTTGTCCCCATCCTCTTTACAGGCAGAACCCGAGATGATGTGGCTTCTCTGCTGGGAATGGGGGTACCATCCTGTCTGTGTCTCACTAGGACTCTGCCTCACCTTGTGGAAGAGCTGCCTGAGACCCTGGATGTGGGAGCTCGGGATGCAGGGGATGGACCAGAAAAGAGAAGAAAAATGGCCAGAGGGGGTATGTGCTGTTGGGCGCCCCCCAACTCCAGGCGCCTGACCCTTGACGGCCCATCATGACTTCTTGGTGTCTGCACTTTCATTCCTGGACATTGTTTCCTGGGGCACAGTGTCCTTCCCTAAGGTCCCCATCAGGTTCTCTCTCTGTTCCCCAGGGCCACCTCTGAGAGCAACAGGCACTGCGATCTCGGCCCCGTGGCCTCTGTTCACCGCCCCTCGGCTTAGGGCAGGGTTCCGTGAGACCAGCCAAATCACTACACGGGCTTCCCGACATCCAGACTCCTGGGTTATCAACATTCCTAATTTCTCAGTCTTTGGAATTGTTATTATTGTTTTCAGGCGCAGGAAGGAAAGCAGTCATTTAACTCTCCCATATGGGGGTGGGCAGCGTCGGGCAGCAGGGTCCACACTGGCTGGGGCAACCCCGTTTTCCTAGACCCTCATCCCATAAGGGCCAGAGGAGCCCGGCTCTGGTGCCCACTCACTTTCCTCTGGCCTGAGCATCTGGATCCTCAGTTGCTGTAACTTTTTTTTTTTCCAGAAAAGTCATGTAGAATGTCAACTAATGTTTTGTTTCTGCGTCACAAAGGAAAATAGAACAAGGAACAAATGAATCAGTTTTTCTTGAATCATAAGCAGTGATTTCTTCATGAACTAATTTAGAGAATGGCTATTGAATTTCACAAACATTCCTGAGTGTTTATTGAATGCTGAACCTGGCACGATGAGTGGATGGAGGCCAAGATGCGAAAGAGGTGGTCCCTGTCTTGGGGGCTTCCACGGGCAGCCTATCCTCTGACAGCTGCACTGCTCTGCAGCTGGGCAGGCAAGAAGAGTCAGGTGGGGAGCAATGGGGAGAGCCCCAATGTTCTGGAGTGGGTGCTGGTGTCACTTCATTCTCCACACCTGACCACACTGCAGGGCACAGCCCAAGTCCCCCTCCACCATGAAGTCTTCCTTGACTGCTTCAGGCCTCACTGAGTTTCCTGCTCTCAAAACTATGGATTCCTGTAGCACCCTACAGCCTATAAGATATTTCCACACATTATCTCATCTCAGCATCACAGCCTGGCAATGCATATAATATCATCCGCATTTTAGCAAATGAAACAACTGAGGCCCAGAGAAGTGAGATAACCACCCCAGGGTCACAGGATTAGTCAGCAGCAAAGCTGTGACATGAGTCCCCGTGGTCTGAGTCCCAGCCAGGCCTTCTCCTTGCTAACAGGTACTTACTGTCTCTACTGCGTCATTTGACCCAGGCACCACCACGTGGAACTCGGATGGCCCCTCTTCTACTCCATGCTTCCGCTCTAGTTCCCACTTTGTTTTTAGTCACCCGGGTGACTCCCCTGAGGGCAGGGTCCCAGCCAGCCTGGTCCCTGGCCCCTCCTGGCACCGACACCACAGGAGCTCAGTCAGGCTCGGCTGGGTGAAGGGTGAGGGATCGAGCTCAGCCTGTGCCTCCCTTCGCCCCTCTTCATCCCCGAGTCATCTGGAGGCCACGGCAGCAAACAGCTCTTATGTGCCAGGTAATTGTTTTTTTTTTTTTTTTTCCTTTTTGTCTTTTTTCGTGTCTGGCAACGGATTGCAACCCTCAGTGTCACGCCC